AGAAACAACAAAAGATTTCATGTATCAGTCATCTTTTGCAATAATACTTTTATGCTTTCCTAGGCTTGTTATTTCAGACAATGCAGTATTGTTTTACATGTTGATAATGTTGGGGCCTGAAGTGTTGTATTCATAACTAAGTAGTTACTCAAATGCTTTCTAACTAACCAGTAACAACTGGTTTCATTTATTAGGCAGATGTGTATTTAGCCAAATTAAAAACCTAGAATTTTAAAAAATTCTCTAAGTAGCTTAAATTTAAATCAAACAAAATAAAAATTTGAATAAAATCAATTCATTTTGTAAAATAAAATTTTACAACTTTTATATTATAAAGTTTGAAAACCATTAGGGAATAAATAAAAATAAAATTGAAAGTCTATTCAGATAATATAGTATTAATGTGTTAACAAGTAACAATTTGTTTGATTTGGATGTATAGCCCTTTACATACCTCTAATAAATAATTATGCATGTAAACCATACAAACTGCTTATATTACATCAGTGTATTAGGTGTACTTTCTTTAATTGCTTCACTCTTCCCAGCAACACTGATGAGCTATTAATTTGGTGAAATTAGCCTGTTGCATTAGGAGTAACAAATCAATGAATAGATTAAGCCTTTTCTTCATCCTTTTTCCACTGAAATTCATGGTATTGGTAAAGAAAAGAAATTAACAGACAAATAACAAGAATATTTAACTGTTAGCCACACTAATGTTTTCTTTTAATTTTACAGTGATGTGATGGTACGATACCAGGAAATATTTTAAATGTTAGCTGTGTAACACTGTAACCAAATATTCAGTATTTTTTACGTGGAAAAAGAGATTTCCATTCTAATTTTATAGTATTTTGGTTAATCAATGTGATTGATATGAAAATGAAAATACCTAAAAAAGATTTCAAAATTATAATTAAAAGTGTATTCATTCATAAACAGAATGCATGTTTCTTCTTTCTTTCAAAAGTTGCTACTTATACAGTCATTCCACTTGCATTTTCACTTGTTTTAGACATAGACAATACAAAAACATCTCTCTAAGGAGAATTTTAACTTGTAAACATTGAAAAATTGATTCTGTGAGAAGTCTATGTTATAAGATGTCGGTGTCCTAAACAATTCTAACTTTGATAAAAACAAATGTATAAAGTCTAGACACATTGTTAGAGTGGGTGTGGAAAAAGACAAAGCGTGAATGAAAATTTACCATGGCAGTGTTCATATTGTTATATCAGCTCAGTGGTAATATTATCAGTTACTGGCTGAGGCCTCGACTGAATTGCTATAGACTCCATCTATGTTGATTTCAGAAAACATATAAAAAGCTCTTATGGTGATTAATAGTCTAGTCAAATAAAATTAGACATTTAATGTTTCTTTTTGATACTATATTGTAGTGTAAGGATATATGCCTGCTATTAATTTCTAAAAAATGGTGGGTGGGGGGTGGTTGTCTAGATCCCTCCCATAGATCTGAGAATGCTTGTAAAACATTAAAGAATAGTTAATAATTTCTGGAAAAATTGGAGGTTTGATCTCTTTTCTAGATTCATGCATTATACAACATTTAAAAATAGTTTTAATTTCTGGAAAATAGTGGAGGGGAGTAGGGGGTCCAACTTCCCTTAGATCTGTGCTTGTACAATGTTAAAGAATAGAGATATTCAATTATAACTTATAAACATAACACAATGTAAAACAAGACCAGTAAACTTACACCTTATTTAACACTTAAGTAGCCAAAGAGTTGGCAGTGGGTGCTGCCAGCCAGTTTCTTTACCTGTAGTCAACAGGTTCAAAATTAATGACAATAGTAGACAATCTTAGTAGCTTTGCCAATAACAAAGACAGGTTAAGTAAGTTTGATGGCAATGGGAATTGATTATGATACTCGTGACACTCTCCAACCCCCACCTGAATCATAAGGCTGTGCTAGGTCAAAGCTGAACAAACTTAAATTAAAAGAAGAACAACAACAACTTATAATGCTAAAGGGTATCATCATGGTCAGATAATAGATTGACCATTATGGAGTTTTATGCTTAACAACAAACAAATATAATGGCAATATTTTGATTACTTGGACAGTTGAATTATTGAAAATAGTAATAATTGGAAACTCTATTTTGATTAATTGGTTTTTAGAATAATATAAAACTGTAATAATCAGAACAACTAATTTTAATTAGTTGATTGTTAGAATAATATAAATGAGTAATGATCAGAACAAATAATTTTGATTTGTTGATTATATTTGAAATTATAATTAATCTGTTGTTGGAATAATGAAAAATGGTAATAATCTGAAACTTTGATTAATTAAGTGGTACTAATTGATATAATTGCTGCTTATAGGTAATTGATTAAATTGTTCAGTTCTAAATACAATAATATTATTTGTGACATAAAAAAAATCCCAATTTTCCATAGATGAATTTTAATAAGTTAATACTATCAGCAAAATAAAATAGCCTACAATTTTCCAAACTTTACCTAAACATCATCTTCACAGCAGTGTGTACTTTTTTAAAGTTTGTTTTAAACATGTCACAGATGATCTCTTCCACAGAGTAGATAAATAATTACATTCATTTCTAAGAAACTATTTGGCTGTTTGCAATAATTTTGAAATGAACAAAAGAATATTCCCTAATCATAACATGCAAAGCATGGGTATGAGAAACCTATTAAAACCTGTCCATTAAGCTATTTCTCTGAACAAACATGATGAGCTAAGGGCTACTGCAGTTATTAATAATTACATAGATCATTGCATGTTGTAAATGCTTTAACTTACTTTAAACACTTGGATAGTTTTGTTACATATTGATACTTTGAGAATTCAAATTCTGTGTCTTGGAAAAACAAAAACATTATATTTATACTGAAATATTGTGAAGAAACAAGTTCCCACCTGGACAGACTCATTACTAAATTGGCTTAGACAAATACAGTGGGGTGAAAGTGACATTGGTCAATAAACATTCAGTTATGTTTCTGAACATTTCTGGAAGAAAATATTTAAAACTTTTAGATTCAGTGCCTTTTTTCCAGGGTAGGTTGAGTTACTCCCAAAATTTTTTTTTTACCATAGTCCTTTTGAAGCATGTATTACAGTTGCAGCCTATTTATATATATATATAATTGACCACATAGTATTTTTTATAATATTCTAAATAATATAGAGTACAATGTAGAAACAAATTTATGTCATGTTTTTGTTTTTATACAATAATAAAATTATTAGTACTTTTAAGTTTTGTGCTATATTAATTTGTCAATTTTATTGTTAATTGAAAATCGATTACTACATGTACATTTGTAATTTATCATATGGTTAAAAGGTTGGCATGGCTAAATGGATAAATAATACTGATTTGAAAGTGTCTGCCCCATGATTAGAAAGTTGTGGGGATTAGAGATGTGCCAGTACCCGTCAACTTCCATCAGAACAAAAATTCAGGAAATAACTCCTTAAACCCAAGTGGATGCTGCTACTTTCTGGCCAAAAATCTCAATTTAGCCATCAGATGGTGACAGCATCTGATAAAGTTTGTCTCTCCTTGGCTGAAAACAAATCCAAACCATGTTATTATCCACCTTTTATAAATAGATTGGAAATTTTATAAGGTATGGTGATAATTATTAGGACATTGTGAAAATAAATCTGACAGAATGTGCTAAAAATTATGGGTTTAAAGAGTTAAGAGGTGTGGTGTTACAAACATAATGTATACAAAGTAAATTTATGGTTTATTTAGGACTGAAAAATATAGTTATGCAAAGTATAAATCATAAACATAAGACTATGTAAAAAAACAACAATAATTTAAACATTATTTCACACTGCAGTAGCCCAAGAAATGCTGGTGAATGCTATCAGCCACATGTCTTCCCTCCAGTTAGCAGTTCAAATTTGGGGATGGTGGAAAAGAGCCTTAATAATTTTGCCATGACTCAAAAACAAAGAAACAAATATAACCTCTCATGTCTGAAAGGTTGAGCATGTTTTGAAGGCAATAGTAATCAAGCCCTCTTATCATGAGGTAATCCTCCTAATCACCAGGTCATGCTGGCTCAAAGATGAACAAACTGAATTAATCAGAGAAATAATCATGGAAAATTGTAAGGATAATACTTCAGTTATTGGAATAATTGAAAACACTAATTTTGGTTAGTTGAATATCATAATGGCAATATTTGGATTATGTAGATAGTTGGACTAATCAAAAACAATAATAATCAGAAACACAAATTTTGATTAATCCATTATTTTCATAACATCAACTTAATTAAGGTTTCAATTACTATATAGTTGGAATAAATGAAAGCAGTAATTATCAGAAACACTATTTTCAAGTAATTGATTATTTTCATGAATTAATTAATTCAGTAGTAATTTTGATTAATTGATTATTTTACACAACACTAAATGATACTTGTAGTTAATCTGTTAATCAATTTAATCACCCAGGTCTGGTCCATATTTTATGTTTTTGGTTATTTCAGTGTTGGGGATAGCCTATATTGATAGGGAGATTACATAAAATTCAAGTCTGATGATCACAATAAGCATCTCAAGAAAACTGGACCCAGAAAATGTTCATTTCTTTGTTAATAAAAACTTGAATTATTCTACGACAATTTATGTAAATATGTTTCTTAAAACACTGTAATTTAATTTGAGAACAAAGTTTTAGAAACCAAATACTTTAATGAAAATGCTTGAAGTGTTTGTTTATGTTGATTGTATGAAGGAAGTTTTAATTTTTCTACTAACTAACATTAAAAGATATTTTTTTTTTCATAGATATATACAAAGTTCAAATTCGATGACGAGGAACCCACTTTGAGACTAATAATGCTTGGAGATGGCTTGTGTGGGTAATGAAGAAAAACTTATATTAAAGTTTTTCTGCATTACCCATGCAAGCCATCTCCAACCATTATATACAAAGTTCATTAGTAGGTTGTTCAATACTTTATTCTTTCAGCAAAAAAAGCAGGATTCAGAACAGCCTGTAACATCTAAACTGTTGTCTTCAAACACATCGGGAGCTTCAAGTACTTGTTGCAGTGTTGCAGTGTCACCAACCTCAGAAGGTGCCTGTGTGTGCTCAAACGGTTCGGCTGGAGATAATTCAGAAACTGAGACCAGCTTAACCAGAGTTACTAATAGTCTTGATATCACTAGGAAACCACAGAGCAATATGGAAGAGACAAAAGTGAGTTAAATTCAACAATAGTTTCTTTTCTTTTAACAATAATTTATATATATATAATAAGTATAGCTTTGAAACTATTTTATCATTTACATTAATTGTCAATAGGCGATCAAGATCGGCACTATAAAACAATAATGAATTTAATATAAATTCAAAACTATTTAAAGAAACAAGAACAAAAAAACCCTCACACTTTCCAGTCATTATCCAAAAGTCATAACAAAGATTGCCTGTGGTAATAGCACCCAAAAGTGTTGGGGATATCCCATCTATCAGACAAAATCAAAAATCAGATGAGAAACCAGTTAGCAGTCATGGAAACTTCATTAAGGATACAGAGTTGAGTTTTTACACTCACAACATCTCAACTCTTACTGCCTTTCACTGTCTTCAGCCAGTTGTGGGAAGGCAGTTACCCTTAATAAGATGTAATAAAGTTAAAAGTAAAAATAAGATAAAATTAAGCCATCCCAAAAAATATATTTCTACTAAACAATTCCTACCATCTTCCACACTTAAAAGTTATAAAAAATCCTTGAAGTAGAATAAATACCACCCTAATAATTCTACTACCTGTTGCTCCCATCCTCCACCCTTTTCTAAAAGTGACTTATTTATTATAAAAGATCTTAAAAATAACTACAAGACTTGCCTTAAGTAGTTCATATTGTCACATTATTTAAGTATAACACAGGATAGCTAAGACAAGCTTAGCTACTTAAGGTTAGTCTTTCCAGTCCCAGCTACACTGAATCAATTTAACTTAAATATTAAAGGTAGCTAACTACCTCTAGTGACAAAAATGTTTTTTTTCTTATTGAATATTTATCTATTAAAATATTTTGAAATTTATTATAAAAACTTGCAAAAAACTTTTATTTGCCAGTACTTATATCCATTATTTTCTAATTTAGTTATGAATAATATAACATTATCCATTAAAACTTGCTGTTATTACAAACAGTTAAAGATCTTTTTAATTGAGATGTAGTGATGCCTTTTAGCATCATACAAGAAACTACACTATTGGGGGTGGGTAGACCAAGGATGGGAAAATTAAATGCTCTTCTCTTATCAAAAATATTTAGTTGTACTTTACCATTTACTGATTTGATATCCATATCTAAATAACTAGCATATACATTATTATTATTACTTTTTTTGTTTCAAGTTCTTTGGGATATATTAGACTTGGTGAAAAGTACTGATTGTTTATAAAAATTCGATCGTCTATATAACGAAAATTATAATTGTATAATTTAGGATTTTAAACTTTTTTCATGAATGCATTTTCATAAAAAAACAAATATAAATTGACCATATTTGAAGAAAAGTTAGCTCCCATTGGAAACCCCACAGTTTGTTTATATAACTGTAAAAAGTTACATAAAAGTAGCATAAATATTATATACACAGAAATGAAGAATGTTTTTACATTGAATTTTAGTAAATTTATACTTAGGAATATTTATTTCTGTGTCTATAAAATCATTGAACAGATAATTAAACATTTTTATCAAATCCTTTAAGTCTATTTTAGTGTATAAAGTAGTAAAATCGTAAGTAGAAACAAAACATTTACATTACTTAAGCATTCCAAAACTGGACTGTCGTTCTTAATAATCCAAAAATATTCATTTGTGTTACTTAAACATAGTGTTTTTATTTTTTCATACACAATATCCTGAATATTATTAAGGAGAATTGAAACAGATTTAGTAACTGTGTTTAAAGAATTTGTTATAAATATGAATTTAATGGGATTTTTATGCAATATGGGAATTGCTTATACAAATGGCAGATGATAAGAAGAAGAGTCTACATGTATATTCCATTTTTTATGGCCTTCTTTATATTAGTAATAATATTGTTTTTATTTAAAGTACTTTTTCTAAATGTCCTTGTATTGTTAATTTCTTTAACTAGAATTTTAGCGTGCAGGTTTTTACAAATAAAACCGAAGTTGCAACCTGCCTTATCAATACAGTGATAATAAATTGTTCTTGCACCTTCTTTATTTTATTTTTGAAAACGTGAAAAGAAGTGTCAATTTTATATTGAGCAAGGTTTAAATTTCTTAAATTATTTTTTATGTAATTCAGGAAATACAGTTTTCATTCAAAAAAGAACCATGGACAATAGTAGGTTTTATTACTTATTTTGATATAATTATCAATATTTTTTCCAGATCTTTCAATATTTCACATTTTTTAGTTTTTTAAATTCTAAATTTAGTTTCTTTTTCAATATTGTTTGCAATTCTTTATATTTAATGATCCCAAAATTACCTGTAACTATATGTTTATGAAAAGGATCCTTAAATTCATTGTTATTACAATTACAAGGTAAATTTCTCAATATCTATTTCATTAACCCATTAACTGCAGGAGGAGCGGTTCAGTTGCCGTTTGCTGACTCACAGATAAAACTGAGTTGCCATCAATCACAATAAAACAGTAATTTTCTTCATACGCATGGAGTTATAGTTATATATGTGTGACTGATGGATATTTCCGTCATTCGCAGCCAAGTCATAGAACTTCAATGACGGAAATATCCGTCATCTGCAGTTAATGGGTTAAAATCTTCAATAAATTTTTTGTAATTCAAAATAAGAAGACCTATAGGTATATTACATTTAAAAATAACTATACGCTGCACTGATTTAATAGGAAAAATATTTTCTTGAACACTTTCATGGATCAAGGAAGGTATAGCTAAGTCATCATATATGTTATGCTTAAAATCAATAACTGTATATGATTTTTCTTTTTCCTTTATTAAAGGATTATTTTTAGGTATTTGATCCCATTTTAATTTAAATGTTATTAAATCTGAAATTAAATTTTTGTGTATATGTTTAAATTCAAAATTTAACATATATTTGGACAAATACCTGAGTTTTGTATTTTTTTAATTCAAAAATTTCTCTGTCTATAGCAAAATCTAAAAAAATTACAAAAATTTTAAAAATCAATCCATTTATTTATAGTTTTTCCTTTACCCCCTACATATATTTTGTTTATTGTTATAATTATTTATTTGAAACAGGTTTCTTATACATACGTTTTTACTTAAAATGTCAGCATTTTTGTTTTGAAAATCTTAATCTAGACCAATATTCTTCTTTTTCTGTTAACAGAGTTTCATTGTAAACTTTATCCAAAATAGTTATTTTTTCATTATTGAAAGAATGTTTATTAAAATGATCTATTTCAATAGAATGAGGAAAGCCCTTATTACTATGAGATCTATGTAGGTTAATCCTTAGATGTAAAGGATCAGTTGTTTGCCCTACATATTTAAGACCACATTTACCACAAGCTAGTAAATAAATTACATGTAAAATGTACATAGTGGTATAACCTGCAGTACATGTTGAAAATCCATGGCTGCTGGACAAGTTAAACATCTAGAACAATTGCATGTAACTTTTCTATAAATTTCAGAAGCTTAATTAGAAAACTGTCGAATAGCTAGCTGGGCTATAGGACAGTATACAAGATAGATGACAGTTAATAAGAAAAAGGAGTAAGGGCGACAAATCAACACCTTAACATCATTGTTCTCTACATAATAAGAGGTATAGTTTCAAAACTATTATATCAGTTACATTAATTGTCAATAGGCGATCAAGATCAGCACTATAAAACACTAACGAACTTAATATGAATTCAAAACTCTATTTAAAAAAAAAAACTTCGCATTTTCCGGTCGTTATCCAAACGTCATAACGGAGATTGCTTTTTTTGTTTTTAAAATTTAAGCACAAAGCTACACAATGGGCTATCTGTGCTCTGCCCATCACGGGTATTGAAACCCGGTTGTAAGTCCGCTGACATACCGCTGTGCCACTGGGGTGGAGGTAGGGAGATTGCCTGTGGTAACTGTAAAATACATTCGCTAGTGAAAATATCTGTTTGTTTCGTTTAACTTCGTGATTGGATTATGACATATCTTCTCCCATGATTCAATGTCGTTGGTAGATGGTACTGCTGAATCAACAAACGTAATTTGTCATATCAATATATTATTAGTTTAATGAGTTAATCAAAGTTATCACGAAAGCTACTCTGTGTTTACATATACTGGTCAAAATCGTTTAGGATTTCAATTTAGACTGTTATTAGTCTTAGCTTATTTTTCAATAAATTTTACAATTATAGTGAATCTTGTTTTTTCAAAAGACGATTTCGTTTATCTCTTCTCTAAGTAAAGGTCATGAACAGTTATTTTATTCCTTTCATGAATATAATTTCGCACCTGTTTATCCATTATGCGTTATAAAAACTTGCATTTTTGTACAAATTCGGTTATTTTATGCAATTTATAAGAAACTTTGCATAAATACAATATCTGTGATTGAAAAACATTTCCATAATTTTTCACTCTCCTTGGCAGATGTTTAGTGATTGTTTTGTTTCGTATAATATGAGAGGCTTATAGTTCTCAGACCAACATATTTTTTGTAAACATAACAGTAATGAAGTATAATGTTTATATGTGTTGTTGTTGTTGTGTTGCTTTGGCTGTAGTATGATCAAGCTCTTCTCTTTAGATACAGACATACGTGGCTAAGAATCCAGAAAAATTGGATGAATAAAGATGACAGAGAAAATGGGCCAGTCGTCTCTAAATATACAAGGGAACTGGATAAGAACAAACGTTAAGCGATTGTAGGGCCTTCAAAAGAGTTAAACAATTTACCACAGATGGTACAATAAACTGCTTAATTTAGATATAATCCACTGAAAGTGAGATTGTAAACAGCTCAGCAATGAATAGATCGGCAAAATCCTGTGAATAACAATAATGATGAAACAGACCATAATAAAGCCCACAGACTCACCTGATTTTAAACCATTTGTAAAAAAAGGGTACAATAGGATAGCGCAAGACGTGTTCATTAAAAACAAAAGTGGGTATTTTCTATCAGGTGTAACTGACTTCTTCCAGTTACTCAACAAATGGTTAGAGTGGGGGATGGGCTGATCAATCCAATTCAGTAATGTTGACTGATGTCAAGTCTATTTCATTAACCTTTACCTGGATACAAAGGTCAAAGGTAGAACTACAGTGTGAGTATGTTATATTAAAACGATTTTGTAGGCTCACCTCGTCATTACAGTAAATGTGGCCACTTCTGATCATGCTCTATCTAACGACCGTGCATCTTGACAATAGTCCTGTAAAATCTCTATTTCAATCTCTTTAGTTTTAGAGTACAATAGTTCCCACTGCCCATTTCAATAGTCCAATCACATAAAAATTTATAGGTACTGCAGCCGGCGATTTGACATGGACGACTTTTATCGCTGACTTTTGTGTTCGAGGATTCTTACCTGTTACAAGACTTTGCACTTTGCTTACCTTGGTTGGGATATGACTTGTTGCAAGCTTCTTTGTGGATAGTTCAGGTTCCCAAAGTTGATCGATGTTGCCTAGTTTTCTAATGCAAATAACTATAAGAGGCATCATCATATTGGAAATCCTAAATTCTCAATCTGAACACAAATTTATTATCTAAGTTTATGAGTATTTTGTGTTGGAAAGAGTTTTAACATACAATTCCCTAAAGTGATCAATTTTGATGAGATCGCACTACCTATGAGCATTAAACAATATCAGAAAGTAGTTTATTTCATACTTTTCCACCAGAACTATATGTCGGCTGTGTTATCACGTGACTTGCTAATTTGCACATTCGCAATCATCTTAATATAACATCTTAAATACTCCGTAGTAGACTGTCACTTGTACAACCAATTGCCCATTAAGGCATGAAGACATAATGCTAGTTAGGTTGCTGTGGTAGCAATCAGAGTTCTGTGGCAGATTGCAAAGAAAAGTTGTAAACAAATTATGTGAAGTGAATGTTCATAGAATGCTGCATACCACCTCTGCAAAACCCCTGAAAGAGTTAAAGCTCTTGATGATGCAAAGGGCCCAACATCTTCAATGCAGGACACTTAGCTAAGACAAGACCAGAGAACCTAATTCCTACTTATATCAGTATGGGAATGATATATATCCAGCATCTATCTGCTCCCCGAAAAGTAAACGAGAAGATGCAAAAGACATCCATGCCATCAATGCTTCGATAACACTTAAAACACAGTCCTGGGGTACTCTGAGTTAATGTATAAATGACTAGGGTAATTTTGATCCCACACAGATCTAGGATGACCTCACTGCTAATAAGTTATGAATACAAATGGATAAATAGCCATGGAACCCAAAATAGTAGAAGTACCATAATATACCAAATCTCCATGTGATGTCATAAACCTCCTCAAGATAAAATATAGAAATACTCTCTCTTGAGAAAGACTTCTCTGGTTGATCTATCAAATCCACAGTAGATCACTTTCCACATGAAATCATACTGGGTATAGAAATGAATGTGTTTGATTCAAGGAAATAAACAAGAAGATCATTAATCATTCTTGCCAAAACTTTACGTGATAACTAGTCAAAGCAGTATGTCTGTAATTAGAAGGATTCTTCCTGGGCTTAGAAATGAGGATGATAATAACCTGACTCCGTAAATCAGTAAACTCCTCATCTTGCCAAGTTAAGAAAATAACCAGAATAAGATCAAAGATACAGTAGAGATAGATGATGCAACATAGCATAATGCACATCATCCAGTAAGAATGATGAAATGTCAAAACAATGTCCAGAAAATTTGAGTTCCATCAGAGTGAATGGTCAGTTGTAATCAAAATGATAATCAGACCAAACATAAAGTGGAATTATTTCTGCCCAAATGTCTTGGTGGCCAAGAAGTTAGGTAGCCAGAGGGTATCCTTCTAGAGTGGCTATGAATCATGGGGAAAGATGTAGTCGAGCAGAACCGATGTATCAGTAATAACTGCTTGACTATCACAAGCTAGGATTGTTCGTTGATTGTTAGCATGATGGGATCAAAAGAGTTTAGCAATCCTTGCTTTCTCAGCTATAGAATAGAGTTTCGCAATAACAGATATCACTGGAATATTAGATTATTGTTGATCTATTATCATAAGCTTGAATGGTCATATTGTTACATGAAAAAAATCAATGACTCAAAAACTGCTGCAACTCTTGCTTTCTGAGCAAATGAGTAATTTTATGATGCAAATGATATATTTTCATAAGC